ACAACAAAGCTAATGCTTTTCACGGAACTTACGTAATTACCCATCATAAATTGTGATATAGCCTGGTTCGTTGGTCCGTTGGATCGGATTGCTTTCTCACTACAACCGAACCGCTCCAGAGTTCGTTTTCAATCGAGCCGAGACCACCTCGTTCAGGCGATCTCGGACCGATTGTTTTGGCGCGGATCCGGGCGCGATTGCCATGTTCACATATGCCCAAACGAACCGAGCTAGGGGGGGGAAACGCGCCAGGTTCCGAAACAACAGGCCATGTGTGAAAGCACTCTTAGTTTCAATCTTTCTGAAAACCCTGCATCGAATTGTGCCTTGTTTGTAAACAAATCCGCGGTAAAATGAAGTGATCAAACGACCAAGTTCTTACTGACGTGGTCTGGAATTTAATTAAATAAAGTTTATCCAATCTTTCCTAATGTTGGGATCAGAAGAAAGGAGATGCAAAGACTATATTTTTCCATAACTTGGCACTGCACAGCGTCTTGTTGTCTTCTGAGTCATCTTTATCATTTGGTTTCTGCGTAGACCTGCATTTGACTCTCATTATTTACACTGCATGCGTGAATCGGTGGATGGGGCTAAACAGGCAGTGATGTAGAAGTAGGTGATCTTTTTCTGCGGAGGCGGTGCTTAGCCACACTATTACGTCATAGAGCGGCACATTCCACAACCTGTCGTTTTGGCAGATTGACTTCAATTTAAGCTGTTTTTAGACTAACAAGAAAGTTTTGAGTTCTGAAACTTACAGGATGTTTTTATAGTGCAATGACCTCTTATCTATCAAAAGATCAATGGAATTTTGATTTCTCAGTTCATGACCCCTTTAACATCTCAGGAACTCATCTTGAGGAACTCAAGTCTAATGCAATTAGATCATAATTACATCTGTAAACTTCTACACATCTCATTTAGTCATTTTATAGACTGTATGCTATTGCTAAAACTACAACTGTACATAAACATCTCATTTTAACTTCCACAAATAGATCTTACTCATGTGTAGAGAAGTATCATCATTGTTCATCTAACAATTATGATTTTTTTTTCCTTGTATAAAATTAACCTACCAGTAGAGTTTTATCTTCATTCCTGTGAGATAACAACCCTTTGGGGGATTGCTCTCTCTTTGCAAACAGTACCAGTTGTTTTGGTTAAGTTGGCGAAACTGTTGTATGTAAAGAGATGCAACTTCGTGTCTTTGCTACTAAATTTCACTCGCTGTCACTGACTTATACTATGTATTAAATATGAGAGCAGTCAATATTATCACTGTAATTATTTTGTTAATGAGCTCAACTGAAAATTCTGAGTTACTATTATCTCTAACATCTTGCTTGTGTGCTTGTTATGAGTGCTTTTTCTTAATGTATTTTCAGATGCTCCAGTCTTCAGGGCCTATCATATAATATTATATCATATCATATGAAATTATATTATATTAAATTTAATCAAATGTAATATTGTATTTTTTCATTGTATTTAAACAGTTAATTGTAAAATTGTTATTGTGGACCTTTAAGAGTATTTGATACGCCCTGAACACTGGAGCAGTTCTTTTTTGTATTCAATTCAAATAACACCTGTATTGATATTTCAGATGTAATACTCCTTGAATTAATGATTTTTGTTATTGCATTAATTTACTTGCTTCATGCTTAACCTTTACAGCTAATTTGTACTGCATTTTTAAACTAAATTCTAAAAATAAATATTAAAACATTCTGTGTTTAACCAATGGGGAGGTTGGCGGTGGGTCTTTTCTGCAGTCTACTTTCTGCTATTAGCCCAGGCCTGCTAGAGTTGGGTGGGGTTGGTTTTGGTGGGTATGGGGTTGGCAGTGGAGGGTATTGGGTAGAATGTGTATCTCGTGATGAGAATGAGAGATTCACTAAGAGTGTAGGGACTCTCTCCCCAGAACAAAACTGTGGCCACACCCAATCAGGGTGTCTGGGACATGAGGGGAAAGCAGTTTTATGCGGGTATAGAGATCAAGGTGTGGGCCGTAGCCTGCTTCGCCCCTCAGAAACAATGCCGAGAAGATTTGCTCAAGTATTTTTTTTAATATAAATTATAATTTTTCTGTAGGCTCTCTTAGTCTTCTCTAAAAGATGCATGATTAAATTATTTTAATTAGAAGACCCTATTATAAACCTTTCACATTTTTGTTAATCAATATTTTATGTGTTTGATAATTTAATGAATGATGTTTATGCATTTTCAAGATGTTGGAAAATTTGGTTTAAATTTGTTATGGTTTGACAAGGTTTTGACAAGGATATGGTCCTGGTTAAAGTTTTTTTTCTTTGTGTATATAGGAGTTTCACTGACCAGCTGCGCAAGATCTCCAAGGACGCAGGGATGCCCATCCAAGGCCAGCCCTGCTTCTGCAAGTACGCCCAGGGAGCAGACAGCGTGGAGCCGATGTTCAAGCATCTCAAGATGTCTTATGTGGGACTACAGCTCATTGTGGTCATTCTGCCTGGGAAAACACCAGTCTATGGTAAAGAGAGCTCCTCTAATGATGAAGCACAACAAATGTCAGAGAATTTGACACTGTGATATAGGGCTGGGCGATAATTCGATAACGATAATTATCGTGATTTTCTAATTTTCCTTGATAAAACAAGAGTTTGATAAATGCTCGATATAATATTTATGTGCCAAAAGCGGAACGAAACAGCGCTGCTCATTTGAACTGTGCCACACGGACCATTTATCCACTCGGCTCAAAGTTCAAATGGCAGCGCAATGCGAGCTCACTAGAGCAGATGCGTTTACTCGCTGAGAAGTCTCGTTCACGTGACACTAAACAGCGCTTTGAGATCCAGTGTGAAGTGCTTGAATTCAGCAAAGAACACTCATTTAGTCATGATTTAAACTAGTTTAAAGCCAGATGAAACCGCGCTGACAAACAGGAGAAACACTGTGCACAATGATACAGTCAGAAGGCTTTTCAATCTATAAATTGCCATCATTTACCATGGATTTACTGTAGTAACACTAACTGTGCTGTGGTATTGTGGAAGAAATGTGGGATATGGTATTTTATTATGTTATTAATGTAGACGTGTATTAAATCTATATGGAATATAATTACAGTATTTTTTGTGATTAAGCTACAGCGTTTGTGCACAATGTATTTATTTCATAAAAATACCTAGAAACCATATAGTTACATTTTAACATGGTATTGAGCATGCTATATGCTATATGTTTGGTTTTAACTCTGGTTATCATGATCTAAATGTATGCAATTATGGAAGACCAATGGTTAATTTTAATCTCAAAAAACAAACAAACAAAAACCCCTCAAACCCCCTTACTGTTTTTGATAATGAACTGTTTTGATAATGAATAAATTGACATCTGCATCCTAACTCAAGCTGCTACTAGTGCCAACTCAAGTTACTGTCAAATGTGCATTTCTAAGAGACAAAAAATGTAATATTATTAATATTGCAGCCTGCACTGCAAACTGTGCTGAAGATACACAGCATCAAAGTCAGGCAACACAAACCTGTTTCATGATTTGAAACGATATCACTCCTCATTAGAACATGCAGAAACTAAGAAATACATTTTTCTATTAATATATTTATTTTAAGGAAAAATGACTGGAAGAGTGTAAAGAATTCAAAAAAGTGTTTGTCATGTTCTGTCATGTCTGGTTTCTACAACTTTCACTTAGGAGCAAAAATCTGCCTTTAAACTTGAAAGTAATAAAGATTTGAAGTGTATCGTGATAATTATTGATATCGACTGGTATGAAAAAAATTATTGTGATAATTTTTTTGGCCATATCACCCAGCCCTACTGTGATACTAAAGTGATTTTGTGCCTCTCCAGCGGAAGTGAAGCGTGTAGGAGATACTCTGCTGGGAATGGCCACTCAGTGTGTTCAGGTGAAGAATGTGGTGAAGACGTCCCCTCAGACGCTGTCCAATCTCTGTCTGAAGATCAACGCCAAACTAGGAGGCATCAACAATGTGCTGGTGCCACATCAAAGGTGGGATTTGGAAAAGAAGAAAAGAAAAAAGAAAACGAAAAGATTTGGTACCAAATTATTTGAAGTGAATATACAAACACACACACACACACACACACACATACATGCATACATACATCTTAAGGCCGTTCCACACTGAGCGCGATGCGAAAAAGCGAGGCGAATCACCGACGAACAGTGCTTTCACACCGAACACGAATTGATTGTTCGCCTTCTGCTAATTCACACCGGCACGCTAGGTGGCGCCGACCAACAATGCATTTTTCCTCAGATATGTATCTCATATATGGATTTAACATTAATGTAGCTAAATAAAGTTAGGCTTTACGCCAGAAACACAAATTATCTATAATGCTTACAAGAAAACTTCGTAAAATATAAATAGAAGTACAATTAGCATCAATTGTAGCATCATTTGAAAATTTATGTAATTATTAATGTATTCGCTTAAAACCCACTTTAAACCATCATCGAGTGCTTGTAATAACTCCCGATTGTGATCTATATTTGATTTTGATTCTGGGCAGACATGCACTCTTTGTATGTTTAATAACGCCACACTGCTTATTGTCATAAACATCCTTTTTTGTTATAAAAATACCATGAGCTGTATATAAAACACATACAGAAAATATATCATCATAATCATGTCTACGTGCTTTCATATTTCATGTGTAGAAAAATGTTTCCCTCGATTTTATTAATATGGAAGATCTAGAGTGAATGCGCTCTGACTCATAACACTCGCGCACGTGGAATAAACGATGATGACATAATTCAGTGGATAATTAATAGAAATTATATTAAGAACATGTGAGAATAAATCTGTTCTCAGATACCAAAAATAACAAACTCGTCATCCACTCTCTTCTCCATCCCCTCTCTTCTCTCTCGGGATTCTCTTCTTCTGTTCTGTGTTAGTAGTTTAACTGGTTTTCGAAACCACTCTTGCCTTTTTGTGCAACAGCAGCTGCTCCGGTCACGTGATCCTAGCTCAACTCTTATTGGACGGCCTGTGTTTTCGCTTTGCGAAACTGAAAAGAATCGGACTGGTTTGAAAAGAAACATTCGCATTTTCGGCGGTCTATGTGGAAGCATCCATAGGAATCTGTTGTTTTATTCCAGCGCGTCATCGCGTCCGATATTCGTTTCGCTTTTTCGCACTCAGTGTGGAAAGGCCTTTATATTTTAGCTTTCGTTAGTTATTTGCAAAAAACATTACATTAAATTATTTTTCCCCCCTCAATTGTGATTTCATATTGTAATGTCTATTGGGCCCAAACAATGGACCTTTTTCACATTTCCGGGTTTCTCAGCAGCAGAAGTCTTCATAGCAGTAAATGGGAGACTGCTACAAATATATATTTTTGCATTTCCATTTGCTCAAATAGCAAAAGAAAAACTCCATGATAGTGTTTTCAGGACTTTCAAAAAAAGGAGAAAAATAGAGAGACTGATAACGACAGTCAGTAGAGAGAACAACATCCAATTTACCATCACTCTCATAGATGCTGTATAAGAAACACCCTCGCATTAGCGTTAACCATTTTTTTTTGTAATTTGATGCAAAGGTAATATAATACAAAATTACCGCACTCCTGTCTTCAGTGGCTACGTTTACATGCACCCAAATAATCCGTTAGTAATCAGATTGATGGCTCAATCGGACTGAAAAGCCTTCATGTAAACACCTTAATCGATCCCATTGAGTTCGATCTGAATGAAATTTTGATCGGATTGAAAGGGGTGGTTTATTCCTTTTCTAATATGACTGAGAGTGCATGTAAACACTTGATCGGATTGAAAACTGAAAGGACTGAGCATGTGCAATGATGCAGAAATAGCATATGACACATGACGCACAGAACGAGCTGTTCTTCATGTGTAAATGAGTGTCCCGTTATTATAAAAACTCCTTTCACTCAGCGTCCCACCAGTCCTTGTTTTGTTTTCTCATCCACAGACAACTAATTTTGGCTGCGGGAGGAGTGTTTTTACTGCTTGATAAATATAAGATGCACGGCACAGTGGTTTATGTGCTCATTGTTGCCAAATTATGACCAGAAATGGATAAATATTAAATCTGCTGTTTAAAACAAATAAAGAAACCGTGTAGGAGAATGGTTATGCGCAAACAGCGGGAAACTCATTCCGATTGATGCAAAAGTTGTGCATGTAAACATAGCCAGTGTCACATGATCCTTCAGAAATCATTCTAATATGCTGATTTGCTACTCAAACAATTTTTTATTATCAATGTTGAAAACAGTTGAGCTGTCTAATATTTTGTGACAAGTGCAATACTTTTTTATTTATTTATTTTTTTTTTAGAAATCTTAGATTTAAATAGAACATTTCAGAAACTGCATTTATTAGAAATGGAAATCTTTTGAACTAAGTAAAAGAAATCTTACTGCCACACTTTTGAACCGTAGTGTATGATTACATTATGATTGTGTGTATAGAGTGTATGATTCTTCATTCTCAATCATATGTTAATCTTAAATTTTTATTTATTTTTTAGGTACTGTTTTTGTTTAACAGTTTAAGACGACTTCAGAGTGTTTTTGCTTGTTTTCCAACCTTTAAACTGCCTCGTCTTTGGTTAAAAACAAAAATTTGGTTTGTTGTTTCTGACTGTCTAAGTGGGCGGTTCATAGTCAGAAAATGCGTAGTAGACATGCAGAGCCAGACTTTAGCTCAACGTTTAAAGTATATGTATATGAAGCAAAAATTTTAGATTTCAGTGTGGGTGGACAACCTAGGGCAAACGCACCGGTTATATAAAGAAAGCATCAACAAAATCTTGTTGTTTTATTGTCATGTTCAGATAACATTGTGTAAATCTTAAAATCAACATGAATGATGCATTCTTTTCTAATTCTTGTATACAAATTTCTTTGACTTAGGTCGGGAAGAGTGGCAATGTCCCAGCAGGCACTACAGTGGACAGCACCATTACACACCCCTCAGAGTTTGACTTCTACCTGTGCAGCCATGCTGGTATCCAGGTGAGTCACAGCCCAGTTGCTTATTTGTTAATTTATCCATTTGTCCATTCAAGATTTCACACATTTGCATTTCCTTCCCACAGGGCACAAGCCGTCCCTCTCACTATCACGTCTTGTGGGATGACAACTGTTTCACAGCCGATGAACTGCAACTGTTGACTTACCAGCTCTGCCACACCTACGTGCGCTGCACCCGCTCCGTCTCTATCCCCGCACCAGCCTACTACGCCCGGCTTGTGGCGTTCCGTGCCCGTTACCACTTAGTGGACAAAGACCATGACAGGTTATTAGCATATCATTATTAATGGGACGTTCTTGTAAAGTTAATGAATGGATTTTAATGCTTTCTGTATCATTTTCTGCGTGCAGTGCTGAGGGCAGTCACGTATCAGGACAGAGTAATGGCCGAGACCCTCAGGCCCTGGCAAAGGCGGTCCAGATTCACTATGATACCCAGCACACTATGTACTTCGCCTGACGTCAGCTAGCAGGAGACGCACTTCTACACTCCCTCTTCAATCTGTCTCTCTCTCTCTTCATCTTCCCGTTTCTCTCTATCGCGTCTTCGTCTGCAGCAAAGCAGTTCTGAAGCCAGGGGGCCATCTGTCAGTCCAGTCGAAATTGGTCGGCCTCAGAAGAACCAACCTCTACCAGCAGTCCTGCACTGAGAGGCTTTTGGCCTCCAATGCACAGAGAGAAAAAAAATCAAATTGAGCCATTTTTAACTTTTTCATTTCTTATTTTGATTTTGAATGTCTTTTTAATTTGTAATATACACTGAGTGTGAGCAAACCTGCGCCATTGGTCAGGGCAGCTCTGGCTCTCTCAGCTAAGCTGGACTCTGTCTACTTTTACCTCAAGCCACCATTGGCTGAATCTTGTCACATGTCTTGGGGTGGGTGGGATGGATCTTGCATGTCGGGGATGGGGGGAGGTTGTGTTGACTTGGATGGATTTGTTGTTCTCCTTTTTATGGTCGTATTTGGACTCTCTCCTCTCAGTCTTTTACAAACGAGGTGACCTTGGTATACATACCCATTACCCGCTGCCATTTTGTGCCCTTGTGTGGGTGTGCGTGCATTCGTTCGTGTGTGTGTGTGTGTGTGTTTGTGTGAATGTGAGTTTATGTCTCATGGCAGGCCACTGAAATGTTAAGGGAAATCTAGGAGCAAACTGCTGTAAATGCCTCTTTTTTTAAATTTTTTTTTTATATTAACACACACATAGATATATAAAAATATATAAATATTTACAGCTCTATAAGCATATTCAACTTGATCTAACAGGCTTTCATAAGCTGATGGTTTTGTGTAGCAGTAGCATTACCCATAGTCTCCTCTGTGAGTGTTGGGGTTGTCGGACCTGGGCAAACGGCTTGGTACAGGTGCCATTCTGCCTGTGGCAAGACTGGAAGCGCATGCGGCTTATTCGGATGTTTATTTTACAGGGTTGAAAGGTATGGCCATTGCACAGTTACAGACGTAGCGCTAACGCGCCGTCTGATAGGCTAGGCTTGCAACATACAGCACTCTCCCTTCTTTTATGCATTTATACGTAAGATTCAAATCAGATTTGTAAGAGTTTAATATAAATGTTTTTTGTGGTAAACTTTAACAGTTTGTTAGAGTAGATAATCGTTGTTCTTGTCGTTCTTAATGTTGATATTGATCAGTTGTCTGCAAATCGGTCGCATAATTAATTGATCCAGGAGTCATTGTGGTTGTAAATGGAGAGGTTTTTTTTTAATTTTTTTTATACAGCTTAAATTCTTGTAGCGTTGTAATGGTAATGAGGGCCCAAAATGCTTTGGTTTGTCAACTTTTTTTTTTTTTTTTTTTAAGTTTGAACTGATCAAAGTTTGAGTTTTAGATCATTTCTGAACCAAGTTAATGGAAAGAAAGTAGAGTGACAAATCAGAACTTTTTTGGGGGAATGTTCAGCAGTTATATGAATTTTACACTTAGTCTGTTTATTACTTCTGTGTGTATATGAACTTGAATCTATAATATAAATCTGAATGAACTTTCTCTTGCATACTAAAAATAGGACACCATACATTAAGACACACGAGCATAAGCACTGCCTTTGGACTGAACGGCACTGACGGTGCAGTTTGAAGGGTCTCCAGCGCGCACGCCTCGTCAGGGTGGCCGCTCTGCAAAAACCCTTTTGTAATAAACCATCCGTAAAGCAGCAGGTTTGCTATAAATGAGTTTGAGCACCAGCCTGTCGTTGGCGTGGACGCTGGTCCCATGAAAGAAGAACAGGAATTGGGCAAGGGCATCACATGCAATAAGTTGGATTTAAGCATCGAATGCTAAATAGTTTACTCGATGTCACAGCTTCCAGAGAAAAACGCGTTTGAGTAGTGTGTGTGTGTCCTTTTTAGGCATTTTCACTAAATTGTTACATGACATTTAATTCCAGTTTTTAACATGATATCATTGCAAAGCAATATAACCCAAAATCTAGAACAATTTAAAAGCTGTAATACTTTTTGTCAATGTGGCTGTTGGTTGGATTCCTATTGCCATTTGTGTTTATGTACTTATTTTGCTTGTATCAATCAGTGGGAATGTGCATATGGTGGACTAGCTCTTTAGGCTATGTGGAAATTTTTCAAATTTAAACTGTGCTCGCCTGCATGCCAGAGTATTGTTCTAATCTCTTACAAAATATTTATTATGGCGCAGAAGTTTTTTTTTTTTATGCGTAAATCAATACAGTGAGACTGTTTTGAGTAGCGATGTTGTCCGGTCTCTTTTACAAGATTTTAAAAATTTCTCCAGAAATGTCACTAACTCTGATGAGGGACAGATTTGGGGGCTGAAGGGGTGAGGATGTTGGTCTTTGGGAGCTCCAACCCAAACGAGGTACTTTCTTCAATCACTGGGCCGCTAAGACTGACCTCCTCAACCTTTCATTCCGTCCTCATGCTGATGAGGAGCCCTTTTACCCACTGTCTTGTTCCTTCTGCTCTTGGGCTCTCCAGTGCTGTGGCGCCGCCCTGGTGGCACCTCCACACATGCACTTCCTCTCTGCATGTGGTGGGCCCCAAGGGTCTGCTACACAAGGATTACCTCTTAACTTTTTTTTAACCCATTCTCTGTCCCCTTTAAAGAGAGCATGATTTTTTTTAAATTCCTATTTGATATATATGGCTTTGTTATTTGAAAAATGTGTATTGTAATTTAAGTTTTTGTTTCTCTTACTGGTGTGTAGCTTTTTTGTGCTGTTCTATTCTCGTGTTCTGAGCTGTGTGACTTGTCCAATAGCAATAGGGGCACTTTCTTTGACCTGCTGGGGAACGCTCAGGACTCCTGTAGCTTCTCCTATCTTGAGTGCCCCATCAGTTGCGGTATTGCTTTGACATTAAAAAAAAAAAAAATCCCCCCCCCCCTTTTTTTTTTAGCCTGCAGGGAATATTTGTGTTATTGTGCAAAGTAATAAATTGGTATTTTATGCCTATAACACACACCTTGGTCTCCTGTCATTTTTAAAGTTCAGTTATCTTACTTACAAAATCTGTTTTTTTGTCCATAATTATTGTATAGTTATCACTGATTTAAATCATATAATTTGTATCTAAAGGTTGATTGTTTAAAATGTTATTTATTTTTTTGTTTTCTAAAAATAGATTGAATTTAAAGCCACTAGATGGCAACACCTGCTTAGGTTTACAAGGTAAACCACTCACTGTTGTGATGCAGCACTATCCAGCTTAAATGGTTTTCTTTGCTGAATGTTTATGTACGAATTTTGTACAGTTAAATATTAATGGAACTGGTCAACATTTTAAATACCCTACCAAAAAAAAAAAAACTTAATAGCTTTGGTCTCTTTATTTTCATTGTATGATAAAGAGCAGCTTGGACATTTCAAATAACTCCTTTTTTGTTCTACAAAGTCGTGAACCTTGAAATGAGGATTTGTCTCTCACTCTCTTTTTCCCCCAAAGTCATTTGAGAAGTGTATACTACTTGTGGATACTTAAAGATCAGCTGTTGATATTACTGTTCACATTTTTTTATTATACAGGTTGCCGTTTCAAACGCTGTATGATTGTTGAATTACACTTGAGCTTCATTGTGGTCCATCACTCATTCATCTGCTCTTTCTCTCGTTTGTGTACCCACTCTCATTTCCTGTGTTCTATGCTGTTGTCATGACCACTGTTGCCAAGGAGAGGCAGCCACAAGAGAAAGGAAACTTAAACCAGAGATCTTGTAGCTGTAATATTTAATTCATCACCTCAGACACTAACGTTTGCATGTTATGGAGAAGGATGAGACAAAGGAAAAGGGCAAACCGACATAAAAACAATGAAGCCATTTGAAACAACTTGGTAGTAGTCTCTTTATCAAATAATTATATTTTAAAATGTAAGTTACAGTAAGTCTGCCCAAAAAAACAACAACAACACGATCAATTCATCTTTAATCACCTCGCAAGGTAACCTTATATTGCTGTAATCAGATCATTTGTACCTTTGTAAAATATCCCTTTACAACTTGACAGCCATGTACATTCACACTTCTGCCTAAAATGCTGTTATACTGAAGAGTTTTGATGGGAAGCAGATTACTGATGTTCTCCATCACAAAAAATGGACTGGTATACTAGTGTGAGGATTTTGGTGTTAAGTCATCACAGTCACCCTCAGAATTGCCCACAACAGCAAACACCCTTACAAGCCCACTCTTATAAAGCAATTTCTTTGTCAAAACAGTCTCATAAAGGAAAAGGGTAAGCACTCTTTGCAGTGTCCCTTCAAAAGCGCTGAATGTTTTGAGGCGTATTGTTGACAGCCCCTAGATTGTCTTTGTGTTCATTGATCTGCAGCTAGCAGACCGCACTCTCGCCTTCCCTCCTCTGTCTTGCTCCGTCTGCCTTTATATCCTGCCATCCGCTGCTTTCCTTTCAGGATGAGAGTGGCTTTGCTCGACAGTGTTTCTAAAGATGGATGAGACTGGCATACTTGCAACACCTGTAAGGGTTATTGGCCTGCCCAATAGGCGATCGCTACTCTGACAGCAAGCAGCCACCCCGTGAAGGTTTTGTTGCAGGGAACAGGACATTGCTTTTGTCTTTGCCTAAGTGTCCTGAAGCACAGCACTTCTTTTTGTGTCTGCTCTCGATACGACCCTCTTCTCTATAAGAGCACCTAAGCTAAAGAGCTTGAAAGAGGACAACGTCTTTACTTTTGGCATCTATTCGCACAGGTGTCACATCTGAAGAACCTTTCTTTTTAATTGTGGATAATTTACGAAGGCCTTTGCCATCGTTCAGACTCTAGTTTAGGTTCTGTTTGACGTTTGTTGGGTGCTTGGAAGTAATGCATCTTTGACAGCCACTGCATCTATGTCACAGTATCAAATTCAATTGGTGTGACCTGTTTGGGTAAGGCAACACCGGACTGGGTGGCAACAGAGACACATGTCCCTGCAATAAGAGTAGATCTTTCTTTACCGAGAAGACAACAAGTCCACACCACTTTACAGTGGTGCAAGACCAACTTCTACCATCTGGACGTAGCCTGTGATGGTGGTACCCTTACTGAAGTTCAATCAATTCCATGTGGGTGAGTTGAGACAAGTGCCAGCAGTTCTTCAATTATTCATCACTTCAAAGAAAGACCAGGCGAAAGTGAGCACGACTGTCCGAGAAACCAAAAGATGGACTAGAATGCGGCTGAACAAAAATTTGTTCCAAGAAATTTGAAAGACAAAACTGAGAAGTCTGGCAAGGATCTTTTTAAGGAGGACTGACCAAGACTTTTTGCGGAGGATTTGCAAATATGACGAGCCCAAAAAACGGACTAGTATGCGCCTGAACTTGCTTTGAGAAATAAAAAAAAAAAAGACAAAACCAAGAGGTCTGGCAAGGAACTTTCAAAGGACTGACCTAGACTTCTTGCTAAGGATTGACAAACGTGTCGACCTCTGTAGGCAAGGAGGGCTGAAGCTATTATTTATAGTTGGACCACTTGCAAACGGAAAAGTGTCGTCGAGGTTGTGGCCCGAGGAGGCGTGGTACTCAGAGGGTGGCGAGATGGTGAACACAGGTATGCAGCTGATCAGCTTCACCTGTGCTGTGACGGGCTGGGTGATGGCTATAGCAGTGACTGCACTGCCCCAGTGGAAGGTCACGGCCTTCATAGGCAGCAACATCTTGACCTCCGAAATTGTTTGGCAGGGGATCTGGATGAACTGCATCTACCAGACCACTGGCCATATGCAGTGCAAGACCTACGACTCCATGCTGGCTCTACCACCTGATATCCAGGCAGCACGGGCACTGATGTGCATTGCTATCTTCTTGGGCTGGTTGTCCTGCACCGTTTCTTGCTGTGGAATGAAGTGCACCACCTGTGCCAGGGACGATCGCCATGCCAAGGCTGGCATAGCGCTGTCCGGTGGGGTGCTCTTCATCCTGACGGGCCTGTGCGTCTTAGTGCCGGTTTCCTGGACAGCGAACACTGTGGTGCAGGACTTCTACAACCCCAATGTTCCCCTCCAGCACAAGCAGGAGCTGGGTCAGGCCATTTACCTGGGATGGGCAGCAGCAGTGATTCTTATGATCAGCGGGGCGGTGCTGAGCAGTACCTGTCCGCACATCGAGAGAGGAGGGTACAGACGTGGGTACATAGGTCGTAGTTTAGCAAACTCAAGGCCTTCTGCTCCAGATCCGCCGAAGTCAATCACCACCAGTACCCTGCCTCTTAAGGAGTATGTATGATAAAGATAAATGAAAGCAAATGTGGGAAGGTGTGGCTAAACAGGGATAATGATTAAATGTGCACTCAGTAATTTTTGTTTCAATGGACAGATGCATTTTGTGTCATTGTCACTGTGGCAATCATGTCCACGTTTGCCATTTGAAGTCCCATTTATCTGCTCCTTTTCTTTCATTGCTCATACATCGGACACATTGATGCTGTTGACTACGGCTCCTTCATTATGTTGTCTGTAATATACATATTGTACTTACTGTTATATTGTTTGGTTTGGATATATTTTTATGTTTGTAAAGCTTTATTTTTTTAAAGTGTCATTTCTGCACCACTAGTGGCACCAAAATCAAAGTGCAATCTGCTATTTTTCAGTGCAACAGTGGCACAACCAATGCTGTGAGTTTGGAGTGGGACTATTACTTTGTAAACAGGAGTGTTTGACAACAGTTTCTATTTTTGAAATTCTGTTTGGTGACACTAGTGGAGCAGAAATGACACATTTCACCTTTGAATTTGTAGCTTTAAAGTATGTCGTTTCTGTACCACTAGCAAAAACAGAATTGGACAAATAAGGATTGCCATTTACCACTGAAAAATTGATAGTCACATCCCAAACATTGGAAAGAATGACACACTTAAGCTTTAACCGAACTCTGAATTGTAAAGCACAGCTGGTCATGTGATCTCAGCTTGCTTCAGTAGGTCTTAGTGTACATTATTTTTCATTTGTCAAAAGTATTATTCATTTCTTCAGGGGTAAGGGTTTTAATGTGGAAAAATTTACTGAGTGCACCTTTAATTAAAGACAGTCGAGTACAGGGGTGCCCAAACTCGGTCCTGGAGGGCTGGTGTCCTGCAGAGTTTAGCTCCAACTTGCCTCAACACACCTGCCTTTAAGTTTCTAGTATGCCTATAAGAGCTGGATTAGCTGGTTCAGGTGTGTTTAATTGGGGTTGGAGCTAAACTCTTCAGGACACCGGCCCTCCAGGACCGAGTTTGGACACCCCTGGTCTAGTATCTAGAATTAGGAACATAGAGTTTGAGTAGTAATATTCTAGTAGTATTGCAGTGGGTCCAAGATTTTCAGAAACATTTTCTTTGCCTTATTGTTTGTCACTCTCTCTGCCTTTTACTGTATTTTCTCATATGAAGTGTTCATTCAGGTATTCAAATATTGATGAGTACTATATTTAGATTAGTTTTTACCACATTTTGATTAGACTTTGTTTTTTTTAGTCCAATAGTATGAACTCTTAGGCCCATTTTGCAGTGTTTTTTTTTTAAATCTCTCTTGTGCCTTGTAGACAAATGACAGCTTACCACTGTTGTCCTTAGAAACAGTACACCCACACTCAGTATGTCTGATTGCTGTGTTCATTGTGATTTCTCTGTATTTATCAATTAAAACTGTGTAAACCTGAACCATTTGAGGAAAAAAATAAAAAGACATGCGATGTGATATATATTCACCAACAGTGCAATCATTTTATCAATATAAAGAATAAAATGCATCAATTAAATAACCACATTTTTAAAATAGAGCACTGCTCTTACAATGATACTGATATTCAGTCTTTGTCAAGCTAATGGCCAAAACAAAAAATGAATCCAGGAGTCGGAGTTCCACCATTACCATACCACTGTCTCTCTTTTTTTTTTTTGTAAAGGATCCTTCGTTGACATACTGAGAACAACAGCCAACACAGGATGTGGAAATGACTTCTTGATAACACAGCTGACATTCATTCAGTCTCCATGAAGAATGATACTTGACACAATGCATCTAAAACACAAAAACATGAACACAAAATATATATTTAGAAACCAAAATCTCTAATTTTACTATTATACATTGCATATATTTGTATACATTACATGCACATACATTCTAATTCGTGACTCTTATAAAATGTCGCACTTTACAACAAACAAACTAATGATTAATAGATGCAGCCAAACAATTGCAAGGTATCAAATTCTCTGTTTACACCTGGTATCAACATATTAAATGTTTTTTATGGCCACTTGTGATAAGAAGGGAGTGACAGCATCACAAAATATTCTGGACCGCTGTTTATGCCTGTTTTAAGTTCCAACCACTTGTAATCAGATCACCCAAGTCAGACATTAATACCAGGTGAAAATGCGGCCAAAGAGTGTAACCTTATCTATTCTAGGAAAAGAGGAAATACCTGCAATTCTCTCCTCTCCAGTAGCTGAATGTAGAGATTCCCATTTCTTTGGTGCCGTTTCCATTAACGTAAGGTCATTGGGTGTCAGCGTCTGCAGAAGGTTCCTTCTTTGCACTAATCTAACCAGATAAATTGAGGATTCACTGCAAAATAATGCATGTACCAAACACAGAGAGAGATGAAGTATAACATAGATGCCAACAGTGGTCATGAGGAATGTGACTTAAAGGATACTGTAGGCGGTAATAGCGATCTGCATCTTGAAGCCACTCTAACATGTCTGAGATGGAGGGACAGATGGCTGATCTGGAGACACAACCAGCAATGTCAAGAGTGTCTGTGTTCTTCTCATAGAACTGGAAAACAGCAGACACCTGTTGACTGATGGCATCCCGCACACCCTGAAGAGCATCCCTGGAAATAAAGACAAAATTAAATGAAGCATTGGTTTTTATGTGCATTAAAATCATAAACAGGACTCACATTTTCTCAGCTAGTTTTCCCAGAACTGCATCCACAGCCAGTGACAGTTTGTAATGAAGGCGTTCTTGTAAACTAGGGAAACTGGCAAGAGGTGTGTTTGCAATCTGAACGCTTTTCAATGCCTTCAACTGCACTGCAAGGTTTCCAAGAGAGCTCATGAGAGGTTTACATTCAGCTAATTCACTGTCCCAAACGCTTTTACTCGCTTTTAACGTCTCAAAGCATTTTTTCAGTTGTTGGTGCAATGATAACAAAACAGCACTGGACATTTTTTAAAATCCTTTTCAGTGGCAGAACCACTGTGAACTACGTTCTTTTACAGAGGATTCATATGACAAAGGAATTAAAAATATCTATTTAAAAACTCTAATATTAATCACACCCCGCCAATATTTACATTTATCTGATAAACCACAAATCACATCTGTGAGAGCGTATACAAAAATCTTCCAGTTTCCTTCGTAAAAGTACATGTGAATAATACAGCGATGAGCTCCTTCCGGGAAAATGTCTCATCATCCACCAATCCGCTTGTTTCTTTCTTTAGCCGTGACAGTAAAACTCTCAACCATTGGCCAGATTCTTCTTTTAAGAGGGACGATATCTTATTGGTCAGAGCACGGAGCGTATTTACGAAACGACAGTCAAAGCTGCGTGCTGATTGGCTTAGTGACGTAGTAGCGTTAAATTTGAAAAGGCTCTTCCTAACCGCTGCAGTGAGAAAAACAGTTTCAACATAGACCAGGTTATTAGAGTAAGAAAAATATTAATGTCCTTTAAATGAGTTTAAAACGATTGAATTAACTAGATATATACCATGTACTTAAATATATATGAGCGTAATCGCCGCGGGTTTGAAGGAATTCATCGTGTTTGTTTTTCAGGTTTACCATGGCACCAAGAAAACGCACTCAGAATGCTAAAAACAAGAAGAATCCCAAAATGCCGAAACTGGAAGCTTTTTTGCTTGATTTTGACGATGAAGGTAAAATTTGTCGCTAGTGTCTGAATACATAAGTATTTGTGTCCATATTTTGAAAGCTTTATTCTTTGTTTGTAGTGCATACCATTGTTGAAAGACTGAAGGAGAAGACGAACAATCTTCTGAAAGATGCAGACAACCTTTACAAGACAGCTCTGATAAAGCTTCCCATGGCAGTGAGGAAAATGAACTGGATCGAGTACTGCAGTAAGTCATATATGTCAGTTGCACCGTTTTGACAAATAGTCCATTTAGTGTCTGGTAATATGTGGTAAAATAGCATAGGAATGAATATCGTACATAAATACAGTTCTCATTTTAACCTTCAGATATAGAGAAGCCAAAGTCACCAGTGGATGATTCAAAGGTACTTGCATTAAACATGTTTGTTTTGCCATACCTTTTACATGTTGTAAACTCATCAATATTGTTAAATCGATCACTGTTGGTCTTGATGTAAAGTCTTCTCTCTGTTCAGGTGAGGGAGGAAGCTGCTCAAGTGGAGCTTGCTATTGCTGAGAATCATGTGATTCCCAAGTTTGCTGCCAAAGGTACATTTTGCATCCTCTGTCAGCTTGTAAAACCTTCTTAACTTACCTATAATTTTGAAGCTGATTTTCCCACTTTCACCTCATTTACAGAAGCCAAGAATGGTACAAACTCAGAGGATGAAAACATGGCACCCCTCAAGTCTACGGTGAAGAAGGTTTGTAGTAGTATAGTCTTTGTAATCTACCAAGTAGGGCATTAAAATCATGTTGAAGTTATTGTATTGACTAGATGAACGCATGTGATTGTCATGTTGTCACTATGTAGCAGTGGAAAACTTGTTGAGCCTCAAGAAATAAATGTAAAAATATGCGACATGTTCATATTCCATCTAAAATCAGGATTACCACTTTCAAATGTCTAATTAGGAAATTTTGAAGGCAGTGCAGTCCAAGTTTACATTGACGTTTACATTTGGCAGAAGCTTTTATCCAAAGCAGCTTGCATTGCATTCACTGTATACATTGTTTCAGTTCATGTATTTTCCATACATAACCTTTGTGTTGCTAGCGCCTTATTCTGCTGTTTGATCTACAGTTAGTTATGTTAAAGAAAATGGTTTGTAATTTGTAATTTTCAAAGACTAGTAGTCTTTGGAGGGTCCTTGAGAAAATTGGTCCTCTGTTTATGTGTACAGGAGCCTGACTCCCTTTCTCTCCTTAATGTCTAATGTAGAAGAAAGCATCAAAGAAGGCACCTTCTACATCCAAGAAGGCCAGAGCGCTCTCCATCAGCAAACAGGGCAACACTATCCAAAGGTAAAGAAACTATACAATCGGCTAATATTAAACACACAGATTTTGTCCTAATACTGCTGCCTCAGAATCCCAATGGATTGTTCTTGTAGAGTCTGAATCCATGTTTGCTTTTTGTGCACAGGTCTACAAGAAAGCCTTTGATCACCCCTGCTAGAAGTTTACTTGAGTCTTCAATCATTGGCGCCACTCCGCTCATCACACCACGCTTTGACCCAAGGTAAATACTTGCACATGACATTATATATGGCTTTGATTGTGATCGCTGAATATTCATGATGTTTTAAAATATTTATTGACTTAATGACT